GCTGCTATTGGGGTCACAAAAACAGGTTGCATACTTTCCCCTATCCCTGTTCTTGCTCCTGGGAAGATTTGTATGACCTGTCGCAGAAGTGTTCAACTCATCTCGTTCTGGCCACCTGCCAGACAACTACATTTTAAAAAGTTAAGAACTGGTTCACAGCAACGGAACAGGTAGATTGTTTTGGATACTGAATTTCTCAATGCTGTCTTGCTTTTCTATTCATAAACGTTTTAATATGATGTGACTGTTGGAGCTACTGACCCAGTGAATTTTCATTATGTACTCATAAATTCCAATCATACAAAACTTATAGAATTGTGGTTTTGTAAGGTATGTTGATTCAGGCAACATATTTTCTCAAAGTGTGCCAATCCTTCTCTATTTTTACAGTGATGGAACTACAGTGTGACATTTGCTTTAATCTATTTGACCTGGACCACCACCGTCCAAAGAGCTTGATCTGTGGACACACCATTTGTCAAGAGTGCGTGCAGAATCCTGGCTTGGGAGGGAAGTGTCCAACTTGTAGAAAGGTGAGTAAATAGTTTGTGAATCTGCTACAATTTTACATTCTATTTACCCTACCAACAGAGATTCGTCACAAAACATCAGTTTGACGTATTAGTGATGTGAAAATTACGTTTTGGGGTCCAATAATACGTTATAGTGATGCGAATTTTGATGATTTTGATGGTTTTTGACTAATCTCTATTGGTAGGGTAGTTTATCATATGTTCTTTACTTTGTATGGATGGGTGGTTTAATGTAAGGTGTTTTGATCTCCTTTACTCAGGGAAAAAACAATAAAAAGAAAAATGTTATATAGAGAAGTCCACTTTTAATGAACTTCAAAAACAAGTTATTTCAAAAACATTGAATTCTGTGAATCCATGTTACTGTTATCTCAAATAAACAAAATGTTACTACCAATCAATAATGAACTTAACTTCAATTGGAAGCGTCGCACTGTTTGATAGTGATACAATTGTAAACATTTAAAATCCCACAAAATTATCTAGAAAAAAACACTGCTCTCATTTTACTAGTTTGGCAGTGTGGATGAAATTTTTTTTTTCTGAATGACAACTTATCAGCCATATTGTATGTTCACAGGACCTGAACGCCGACCCTGCCGCCCTCCCCGACACTATCGCTTTGATCCGCCTGATTGAACACGACGGCGCGCCTCCTCTCAAGAAGCCCAGGACAGAGGAGACAGAGGTCCGGCAGCTGCGGCGGGGCGTGGAGGCAGGACGGAAGGTGGTGGAGGTGCTGCGGCTGGTGGTGCCCAGGGCCGTGGAGTAGGGTACCTCGAAAAACACCGTTTTTCGAATCTGATTTCGGCTCGGGTGGATAAATGTTCTATCCAGTAACACTATTAACGGTCTAAAATATTATTTCGATCGGATAAAATCTTCAGCCTCCACAGCGGCCTCAAAGTTTAGCATGGAGCTCTTATGGGAAAAAAGCGTAAAAACTGAAATCTTACATTGGAGGGTTCCTGTCATATAATTCGCTGTTTTAATTTTTAAAAATGCAATCTACGCATAAAAACGCATCCAGAGATGTGCCACTTGTCATATGAGTACCCGTCCGTTATGACCAAGGCCCTGTCAAAAAAGCTGATTTTGCGTCAAAATTGCAAATTTTGGTCATAAAAGCTGGGTACATATGACATGAAGGAGCACATCTCCGGAAGCGTTTTCACGCGTAGATTCCATTTCTACTAATTAAAACAGCGAAATTTTCAACTGGAACCCTCACGTAAAAAATTTCAGTTTTTAACCTTTTTTCCCATAAGAACTCCATGCTAAACTTTGAGGCCGATGTGGTGGCTGAAGATTTTATCCGATCGAAATAGTATTTCACACCGTTAATAGTGTTACTGGATAGAACATTTATCCACCCGAGCCGAAATCAGATTCGAAAAAAAGTGTTTTTCGAGGTACCCTATTACAGAGGGCACTGCGGAGAAGGGCACGGATTCTGGGATAGGGGGCTTCACGGAGATGAAACGGCCAAAAACTACCTACGTTTATACTGGGTGGCCTGGCCCATACAATCGCGCCGGGTGTCGGGGTGCTCCTCGAGAGACTGTCCAGTTTCTCCCCTGTTTCTCCAGCCTCCGCAGTCTCAACTCTCGTCAGCCTCTCCTGTGCCGGCTCCAGCTGCAACGACTGAATGAGAGCCGTCCTTGAGCGGTCGGTCGCCCTTGGGGCCGGGTATATTCCGTTGGGCAACGTCGTCGGGGCGATGCACCGGCGCGCACACACACACACACGCACACTCTCTCTCTCTCACACACACGTCCACGGTGCAGGCACGAGAAGGACAGCACGTCCTGGGCAGCTGCAGCCTCAGCTGCATCGTGTGCGTGTGTGCGGGAGGGGGCCGCCGAGGCGCGGGCCGAGGGCTGGCCGGGCCGGGGCACTTCTTGGTGGTGGGGGCCGGGCCGGGCGCGTACCGGCGCTGCCCAGCCCAGCTGCCCCGCCGCCGCAGTCGTAGAGTTGGCCAGTTCAGCCGGCGGAGTGCGCGACGGGAAGGGTAGGGTCAGCAGAGGTGTGTATAGCCATGAAGCCGTGCTGACGCGCAGTGACATACGAGTGCGTCGCGAGTGCCCGACTTAGAGTGCCATGCGGTGAAGGGGAAAGTGCTCGGCAAACCCCACAACCACCACCACGTGACTCAGTGCTCATCAGAGGATAACCACCCCCTCAGGTAAGTCGCCGATTGGCAGAGAAGCTCACAGAGGGCAGTGCAGCTGGCCACTGGCACAGGGCCAGTAAGGCAGCCGGTGGATTTTCAGATGGGGGTTGGTTTATTTTAGTAAGGGAACCCTTAAACCCCCAAAATGCATACAACTGGCTTCAAAATCATTCATACCCAAGTACCCAAGTAAAGTTCAATCAAGCTAAAGTTAAAACGTAAAAGGAAGTTTACTTAACACACTCAGCGTGACACGGCCACAATGTGGCCACGCTTCGTTTAGACATCTGAATACTCTGTCGCACTGAATGTGTGTTAACAAAAAGATGCTAAATTTAGTCGACCTAGCTATATCATGTGTGAATACTGAGTTGAACTAACTGGGTAGTTAGACAGCCGCCTGAAAGACAGGTACTTTGCTCTACAAAAGTCTGTAGGAAGGCAACCCACTACGGTGCAACGGCTATGCCTGCCACAGAACCCGACGCCGCGCATCTTCATACGCCCCTGGCACCGTTCTGTTGGCGCGGCACGCTTTGTCCCTCACTTTTATTCTTTGCAAATATCCCATAAATACAGTAACTTACTCACCGTAATAGACGGTCACGGCACTGTGACGGGCCGCGGGGGCCGGCCCTGTGCCTGTCCACATAATTACGCGTCTAGCGCCTTAGCGTGACACCGCATGAGTGACAGTAGTGCCTAGCCGGTGTACCGGTACCGCCGCCCGCCGGCGGGAACGCCAGGAGGGCCGCCTACCCGTAGCCGCGAGGCCGGGTCGAACCAACCACCACCACCACCACTGGCTAGGAGGCCTCATTGTCTCCCGCGGGCCGGCGTGGGATAAGGGGCAGAAAGTGAAGTAAATGATGACAGTAATGGCACAATAAAAGCGGGACAATTTTTCGCGTGAGAGAAAAAAACGAAAAAGTTCGGGGTTGAGGAGGGGAGGGGGTATACTTTAATTTGTTAATTATTTCGTTAATTTTTGTTCAAACTTTGTGAGGTGCGCCCGCGCGCGCTGGGGCTACTTCAATCAGCGAGTCCTCGTCACGCATGTGTGTTGTGTGTTGTGGTTCCAGTTAGTTGTGTTCTCTGCGTGTTGAGAGATGTCTCTTTGCCGGGGTGCAGCACCAACGCCGTAATGGAGGTGGTACTCATGCT